ACAACAAGTTCCCAAGTCGCTTCGTCAACAGCAACAAAGATTCTATCGGATTGAATATCACGTGACAAGCACAGCCAATCGCAGAGAAGATCAGTGCTTGTTGATGTTCAATGAATTGTAGACACGTGTAAGCATGTTCTGGAAGATGGCTGATTGTACTAACGACTGACATCAATATTGAAATGCTGTGTAATACATTGGCCATGTAGGACAACCAATGGTGGTGTAGGACACCAATCAAATCGGGAATAGCCAAGAACACTCGATATGCCCAATAACACAATCCAGCTAAAACAAGTGCACCAGTAACAGGAATGGTACAAGGAAGAATAACAACAATAAAGAAAAAGATGAACCAAGTGAAAACGAATGGAAGTAGTGCAGCCACTAAACACATGCCAAGACCGATGAATGGAACCATGGACAAGAAAAAGACATAGCGAACAAGGCCGACAAATGTACGCAAGATTTCCCATTCTGGTTGGTAGACAGCTATTTGCATAACTAATGTAACCAATTGTAAACTATAGAACCAGGCAATGACGTCACTCCTGATAGTGTTATATCTTTCAAGAATAAACGATTCCATGCCTATATAAGGAATGACAAGATATCAATCACTCATTTATAAGTGACTATGAATGGCGCGMTGTCCCAGCATGCTGTGGGAGAGAAYAATTAAGCATCTTGCGCGCGCTTTTCTTCTGAGTGGTAAGAAAGATTGCGTATTTTTTAAATGAAAATCTAAATTTGATTAATCTTGCATTCTTGAAAAAGATGAATATTCTGTCGCGCTTATTATTTTACATTTCAGATGAGTACGAATCATGCACTGTGTAAAAATATTCAGTTTATTGTCTTGGTAAATATTCCAAGTTTCAGTCTTGGTGTTTTTGTTTGTTTGCGAAAGAAGTAGTTTCTTGCACTTTTACTTGAGAAGCGCGCATCTCCTATTTCTTTGGCTTCTTTCCGATTCCTATAACAAGATGCCAGTCGATTCYCCAGAAGCAGAACCCAGAAACAATTCCCCAGAAACAAATGATCCTGCGAAGACGAGTAGTTTCTTGTAATAACTTGGCGTAYACCTAAATAACGCGCAGCTACTATTTCTCTAGCTTCTTTTTAATCCCTACAACGAGATACGAACAATCCTAGAGCTTACCTTGTTCGTAASGTCTARCACCCAAAATCTCCTACATGAACATCAATTTTACTATTTGATATCAAGAGCAGTTTTCAACAGCTAATTACAAAGCAGCCAATTGACTTTGTTAATAACAATTAAATCTTATATATCAGTAATTGGTAATTGGAATTTATTACGTCACTGGTAATTAGGAATTTATTAATTACAATAAAATAATTGAAAGAACCAAAGGGAACCCAAGATTCSTTTATGTCAATATATTGAAAACAAAAGTGAACAGTGAAAATACTTTTAATATCCATTCATATCCATTAATATCCATCATTAGTAAAAATACGCAGGTGATTATAGAAAATCTCGCGCGCTGATTGGTCAAGAAACTCACACTATCACACAATAATCACCTCGAGCGAAAATCCAAAATGGCGGCCAGCCGCTTTGTTGTTGTTACCAGGAAAAAATGCCTTTTATCTTCTTTTTTTTCCATCAGAAAAAGTCTGTTAACATTTGGTCAGCTACGATTTCAAGCTCACGCCCCCTCATGTGAGCCCATACAAATTATGTCTCAAAAACACGGTTTTTGGATCTTTTCTCAAAATAATGACTATCTAGGCAAAAAACAGAAGTGGATTCAGTTAATTCAACTATTCACGGACTGTATTTTATGGTTTAGATTGACTTCTATTGAAAAAAACCACCGCACTTTTTGAGTTGAATGTAGGCTATTGGATGTATTTTACAAGAGAAAATGCTTGACGTAACCGGGGTCAAGCTAGAAAATCATCTTTTTGAAGAACAACCTTTTGCTTTGGAAAGAGAGGAATAAGACCGAAAACAGCAAATATCCCAAGTGTAAGGACCATTTTTTCCAATGCTTTTTTTGAAAGAATCACCTGTGTATTTATACTA